TATTCAACGAATCAATTCAGAACCCCCTCTTTCCGAAAATTCACCACTACCGGAACCCCCTCTTTCCGAAAATTCAGCATTACCGGAACCCTCTCTTTCCGAAAATTCACCACTACCGGAACCCCCTCTTTCCGAAAATTCAGCATTACCGGAACCCCCTCTTTCCGAAAATTCACCACTACCGGAACCCCCTCTTTCCGAAAATCCAGTGTTACTACCGGAACCCCCTCTTTCCGAAAATCCAGCACTACTATCAGATAGTGGTTTGTCAAATAGTAAGGATGGTTCGAATAAAAGTGGAGAAAAAGAAAATAAAGGTAGAGGAAAAGGTTTTTCACAAGGAGGATATGATAGAAATAGGAATGGCGGTGGAAGAGGAGGTATGGAAGAAGGTATGGGAGGAGGCGGAGAATAAGCATACTCTTTAGCTTGTTTTTGCCCAGCTATTATGATATGGGAATTGGCTTATCTGAATAATAAAGATAGAGAAAACGGTTTTCCACAAATAGGAATAGGTTGATTGGGATAAGGATTATATAAAAGATGATTTCATAGAAAGAGAGAGGGAGAGAGAGAGGGAAAGAGAGAAAGAGAGAAAGTGTATAAAAGGGATTAGTAGCACAAATGATTTCACAGAGAGAGGGATTAGCTAGAAAGGATACGACCCGACGACTTTAGAGAGTCGTTAGTGTTGGGATAGGGATCATGTGACTGACCACGCTAGCACATATGCTAGTGCCCCCGTACTATAGTATATACGTTCGTAGCCTTTAGCTTTTAGAACTTTAAGCAATATTACAATAGTGTGAACCATAGTACTATATTGTCTTCACCATCCCCATGGTGATACCAACAATAACCAATATTGTAAATCAAAAAGTTACCTGTTGGGCCCATCGGGCCTAGCCGTCCTATATAGTCTTAGACTGAAGGTGGACGTAAATTCAATCAATCAATCAATCAATCAATCAATGCTCATAACTGATAGATTCGATCGGGTACGAAATCAATGTCAGCTTTGCTGTGTAACTGTAATTCCGGCTATGGTTTGTATGGAATAGCCACTTCTAATATGATTAATCGATTGATTTATAATATACTGATCAAGATAGATATATAATAAAATACAGATTGTAGTGATTGGCTTTATTTATCAACTCCTCAAACCACTAAATAATGCATTATGAATAAATAATATAATCCAATTCAACTAGTGTTTTGTATTATTATTAATATATACAAATACATTAATATATTGATTAATAATCGATCTTCAATTTCATTATTTGTGAGGGTATTCTTATTCAATTTGTTCCGAATTCTTTGAATACATTTCTATTGTGTATTGATATATTTCACTCCGGTTTTTATAGTCATAATCAAATCTGATATAATAATTGAATAATAATATTTAAATCCTTAAAAACAACCCCAATATATCTATTTCATTTATATGATTCTCTAATGGCGTTATACATATCATGTAACAAATGAAATATACAAAAATCCGATTATATTTATCAACACTTTTAGCATTTTGTAGTATTTCAAATAGATGCTGGTTCGCGACTTCATTTTTGAGGAATGCTTATTATTTCAATATATCTTTATGGTCTATCGCTTTCAATATATTCAAACAATACTCCAAAATTCGATTTCATATATATAACAATCGCTCTAATTATGGCTTCTTTGGGTTGGGTATATGGGTATAACGGGATGTTTTGATCAAATTGTACTTAAATTGGCTTAGCATCTTATTCTATTTGGTATACTACAATTACGAATTGATTTCAATAACGGGCATCTCTTTTAATATCTGCAATCGCTGCTCTTACACCTCACCCTTCCATTTTTCAATATCTTGGATAATCTGATTTTCAATATTATCCTGATCACTTTCGCTTTTCTCACTATCATTATTACTATCGCCTGAATTATTAGTTTCTTTTCCCACGTTACATATCATAGCTCGACTTACCTAACACTCCTGTTTTTGCTCTTTAACTTTATCAATAATCCAAAATCTCCCTCTCTTTGTCCCAAACCAATATTGTAATTTAACTAATTGAAATATCTCCTTATCTACTATCCTCTTCTAATTATAGATCTTATTATAATACTGCCTAACAGTATCCTGTCCATAGGTTTTGAATTAGCAACTATAATATTGATACTCATCCAAAACGGGAATAATGGGCTGAGGGGCTGAATTGTCGCTAGGTAACTGTATATTGATATAATTATATTGAAATGGATATCCTTTGATATACTCCTCTAATTGCTTTTATAATTTGATCGAAACCTTATGTTGGTTGCTCAAATGTCTATATAAATATATGGGCCGTTGTATATACTGATATTGCAAACAAATCAGTATATGAAATTCAATATTCATTCCTATTAAATAAACCAGCTTTTGGGGGATCGATTGTACTATAATTCCTGAGTTATTTTGATCTCGTTATAATGCTTTTGAGCTTTATATATATGGGTTTGATAAGGTTAGGGTTAATCTATAAACGATGTTTATGATGTACGGATTATATATTATTTCCTTATACAAAAAAAAACTCATAAACAACATTTATGACGATACATGGTGTTAGGACTAAGGCTCTTTTCAATATTAGCTAATCGAGCCATTCGGTAGAAGGCTCCTTTCGCTTGTGTGATTCGAATATTAACATGTTGATTGAATTTGAGGCTCGGATCGAATCATATTCCCAACTATCTAATTATTTATTTATTTATTTATTTATTATTTTACATCCGGGGGGCAAGCCACAGGGGCTCGCCACGACCTCCCAGGGGGTACTAGGGATGGACTAAACTAACAATTCTATATACATACAATTGCTGGCATAGCCAAGCGTTCCGTTCTTCTACGGCTGTGATGCTAGTGGCGAGCAGGGCGGCCGCGCTACGAGCGCTCTTGCCGCTCCACTCCAACTTGCAAGTTCGGGCTGTCCAACTCACTTCATGCTGAGGAGTCCAGGGGTTGTTCGGGGCCTTTGTGAAAAGGCAGGGGATATCAGCCGGTAAGGGCTGGGGTGATCATAGGCTGGTAAGGCCGGAGTGATCGGACTGTTGAAGGCCAAGGCGATCGTAGGCTGCTGTAAGCAGGCGATTATTATTGTCGAGAGAGGGAGATATGTTGTGACCGCTCGGGTGCGGGTGGAACCACTTTTTCTAGTGGGGAGGTGGGGTAGCGGTGGAGCGGAGGCTCCTCCATGTCGGGGCTAGAGGATCAGGAAGGGGGCACGACGCCCTTCTTTGATCGTATGCGGATGATGAGCTGTGGATTCGTAGGTGACTAGGCTTCGAAAAGACAGATATCGATCGGGATATGGCTCTGAGCAGAAGTGGGCACCAATCACTTTACCACTGCAACTATCTAATTAGAGATTGAGGTATAATTATTTCTGAATTAGATAGTGTGATTGAATAGTTTTTCGTTAATCTGGATGATGAAAAGTGTATTAGTTCTGTTTTTGCTAGGTCGAATTGAATAGCATTTTTTGAGCTGAGTTTGTAGATTTGTTTCGTAACTCTCTCTAGCGATTTGATATTCTTTTTTTATATAGATGAGTTGGTAGTTAGGGCAATATCATTAATATAGGAAAGAAATTTGATTGAATTGAATAGAAAGAGGTCCCTAATATATATAAGGAAGAGGATTGGAGAAATTGGGACTGCCTTGTAGTATTCCGGTCGAAATTGGCTTGAAAGATTCGATTTGATTATTAAAAGATAGTTTTAGTTGTCTTTGTTGGAGAAATAAAGCTATCTAGGCTATGAGGTTTGTAGGCAGTTTTAGTTTCTTATAAATCTCTAATAATCGATTTTTCGAGATATAATCGAAGGCTCCCTTTATATTCATAAATAATATTGAGGTCTTCTTGTTGGCCTGCTTGTTTCTTTTGATTTTTATAGTCAATAGAAATGTGACATCGATTGCTGATTTCTTTTGGCGGCCTCCTATTTGATTTTTTATATAGGAGGTAAGTAGTTTCCGCTAAATATTCTAATTGTTAAACTAGAATTCTTTCGCTTATTTTTCCAAGGCAATTTAATAATGTAATAACTCTATATGCTTTCGGAGCTGAATAATCAATCAATTAATCGATTCAAGAGTGATATCATTTTCGATGTATCGACCACTATAAGCCCTCTTTATTCGGTTTTTAACAATTTATAAGATTGTTATATCTCGTTATCATACATTGTTAGTTCGAGGGGTTTTTGAGGGTTATTAATGATAATGATTTATTTGAAATGAAAGTACTGACTCAACAGTTTAACTAAAATCTATTCTGAAATTTCAAAATCTTTTTCCTCGACGGCTAGTGTGGCCTGCTCGCTGAGATACCATGTTATACTATTATTCATTCCAAGATCTCGAAAGTCGATTGATAATAGTTGTACAGGCTCTACTCTATGTAAATAAAAAAACATACGAAATTGACCTGAAGCCTATCTCAATATCGCTTATTTATTGAATTATTAATTCAATTCAAATTTAAAATCAAAATCAGATAAGAAGAAAACTCAAGTCTTTCTTATATTTAGAATTGCAATTCTTATTATTCAATATGATTTCAAAAAGAGATGTGAATTATTAAAGTTCTTTCAAATGATGATTAATTTCCTCCTGTTATTTTGCTGTCATTCGTAGAGATAGGATTATTATAGATAATCGATCGTAATCAAGACAATCAAGGCAACAGTATGTACCTAGCTCATGATGATGGAGTGAGGGGAGCAGGGACGAGAGAGAATGTCATGTGACGATAAGAGTCCATCTCACCGTCCGGGGCTATATCATGACTGAGCCTAGGCATTCAAGGTAATTGGCCCAGTCGTAAAACATGTCATGCGCTACTTCGGACCTCTTACAAATGGGGGAGTACTATTGATGAACCGTTTGCTTGGAGCGAATGGTACCACATTAATGACATTGAGTGTTCTCCCTTTGGTCAAGCATAGCCCATCACAATCTAAAGCGCTGTTAGTGCACGGACTTCTGCGATGGTCATAGCGAGGTCCGCATTTAGAAGAATGTTGGCGGTGAGAACCGCCCGTTTCATGATGAAGCCGACAATTTGGGGGATTGATGTTGAAGTACCGGTAACTATGACAAGATTTTCCATCTCGTTGATTGCCAGAACGATCTCGGCTGCTCGAAAGAGCAATCGTATGAAAGAAATGAAGAACCGAGAAGAGTTCTCATGAAACATTGGTTCGATAGGGATTTGTTCTATCTATCTTGAGGATATTATCAGTCGCGGTGCTGAGATTCAAATCATGAAACCTTGGCATGACATTCCCCGCCAAGAACAATTTCTGGGGCCACAGTAGAAGGAAGGTGGGGGTTAAAGGGTGTGCTTTCCCATAAGATTGGTAACGAAGTGGAGCATAAAGAGATCATCTCCTTTACTACCCTTTCTAGAAATTACAACTCATTATACACCCACTTAAGTAACAACACTCCGCATATGAGGCTGATAAATTACGCCAAGGTGAAGTTCTGGAAAAAGTTAAATTTTAAGCTTCAAATTTAAAGTTTAACCTTAAACTTTTGACCAAATCACCTCCCAAGACTTCTCATACAACAGGAATATAACAGGCAATTAAGTACGCATACATACTTTTCAAGGGTATCTCGTATATTAGGTTCGCGGTATATTACATTTGAAAGGCATAAAGAAAGCTATCACTTGGCACAATATACATATCGATGAACCTTTTTCTATTCTTATTCATTTGCCGTCAATGCTCAAGTGCAATCGTGTGTATGCTGAATCAATCTTATTCGCTGGATAAGGCTCAGACTGTAGGAATCGTTCAGTACTAATCAGTTCATAGATCAGTTTATAGTGTAGAAATTTCATAGTAGTATATATGCATTTCCCCTAGAGTGACAGATTCAGTACCTCACAAAAGAGGGCATTGCCTCTTTGTTTAAGAAGCTTATATCGTTCCACAAGCAGAACCTCGAGAAATTCACTACAGATTTTATTTCCCCGAGCCACTAGTATTGTTAGGCACTGATAGAGATTATATCATTGATAGCGGTGTCTGTACTCTGTAGTCTCATTGACAGATTGGATTCCGAGCAATAGAAAAAGTCAAAAGTCGAATCCTCACTTGCCTGTGTTCATTTAAAATTCTATTATTGCATTGTCATTATGCGGGCTATGTTCGGCCCGTACATTGAAATGCGATAGAAAAAACTCAAATAAGCGAGTTAAATGCAATTCTTCGGTTATTCCTCTGCTGCTTCGGTTATCCTTCTGCTTGACAGGGGACAACAGATGATTTACTAGCCTATCGTCAGGAAACATGTTCATCAGAGGTTCAACTAGAAATCTTTCATCGACAAATTAGGATGGGGAGATGGTATTTGCAAAGCTGGGGGTTTCTGTGGATATCATATCCACACAGCAATCTTTAGTTCGGTATGCGCGGGCTCACCCCGGAGACAATACCTTTGTGTGAATGATATATACCCTTCAAGACGGTGGCAGGAGACTATATAAGAGCGACCTTGTCCCATCTAAAGCAAACACAATAAACACTTCCAATCATTCAATCATCTCTCACAAACACATATCATCTTTACAATTCTATTGTCTCTTCTAGATCTCAAACCGCAACAACCAAAATCAAGATGTTCGCCTCAATTCAGAAGCTCGCCATTTTGGCTCTCTTTTTCGGTCTCTCCGCCGCTGCACCGGCTCCCGCCACAGCTTCTGATGCTGTACCCCAAGTTTCCACCGAAGCTTTGGCGGCCTTCGGCCTTACTGAGGAAATGGTCGCCGCCGCCAGGATCACTAGCCGCGACGTTCTCGAGGCTCGCGCCGTCCTCAAAACACGCGTCGCTTCGTGCAGACCACCAACCTCGCCCCACAACGCCACCTACGGCGCCTGCGTCCTTCCTTTGGTCGAGGCGGCCCGCCAGGGAAACACCATTTACATGCTAGTTCTGGCAGAATACTTGACCGGGCATATGGGTTGCCCCACGGATGGCATTGCGGGCGCGGCTGCGCGTCCAGTTGTCGAGATCGCTGCTTATCGCTGTGGGGGTCCAGGCCCGGAATATGTTGAGAAGGGAGCACAAGGCTGGTCTATCAACAGTTCTTTCAACGAGAAACCTTGTACTCCAGGTAGCAAATGCTCTTAGTGAGTTACTCGCAGGTACATGTTTGATTTTGGAATGCTAAGCTAACAAATTTATAGGAAGCAACGCCTGTCTTAAGCAATAACGCGGGGCTTGATTGCAGATTTTTGAGTGAGGCACTGAGCGTATGAATGCATTGGAGTTATTCATCCGTGTTCCTTTTATTATCTTGGGATCACTCACTACTCGATTACAACGTGTTTCTGTTTTTGAAAAAGCTACTGCAGGTGGTGAGATGGCTGCTTAATACAGCGTTCTTGAGCTGGATTTGATTTCAATCTGTTTATTGTCTGGTTTTCTTGTAGATATAAGGGGTTTGATAAGTTAGAATGTATACTTCAATTTGTATTTAAACATAAATCGGCTTCATTCATGAAATCCTATTTATTAATCTAAAAGTGGAACTGTCTTGTGATTGATTAACACCTAATGACGTAATAATACAATGATCTATAAATGATTCACAATAATACTAAAAGCAATTAGATATCTATATAAACTTGAGTAAATAATCTTAAATCATTAAGCTACTATAGTATACAAAGCGAGAGGGTTAGCCTCAAGTATGTTAGGATTCCTTCTTCTTGTATATAACTAGCTCTTTGAACAGAATATAATATTAACAATTAGAGCCTATCATCGTAGGTAACAGGTCAAGTGTACTCTTCTCAACCCAATAATATCATAAGGAAAATAAGAATTCTGAAATATTCTTGTAAATGATAAAAGGATTTTACTTTAAAGGGACTTAGAATTTTCGAAAGTTTTAGCCTAAGATAATCACTTTCAAGTAAATAGATTTACTTGTATTGAATTCGATTAATAATCAATGGAATTTGAATATATATATTAGAGTTATTCAATATTACTGTTTAAATAATATATTCTATATTATGCGATACAGTAGTGAAGCTTCTGATGAAAGAATAAATCGAAAGTGGGGTGATCGGATCCCCCTTTAGACTTTCGACTAATGTCTTTCTCATCCTTTAGCTCCTACGCGCACTCTCTCCCACTCGTTCCCCTTCTCCTTTTGGCTTTTATTCATCTTTTTGACCTCCTCCTAGCTCCTATATATATACCCTTTGTCACGGAATTCACTGTATAGTGTAACCCCACGGAACTAATTCTAGTACTCCTCTGGAGTACTCATTCCTATAATTACTAAAACTATTTCATTCAGTTCATTTGTATACCCTATATATCTAATTAGATGACTCCATTACCTAATCAAAGTATATAAACCAGATATAATCTTTATAATTATATCTCAAGTCAATTTAGTTTATTATTACTCTATATACCTATCTCCTAATTAAAGTGACCATTAGACCTAGCTATTACCTCCGTGATACTCTTCTATTCACTCGTTCTTATTCAATACTTGAAATCTCTAAGGATTCTTTATTATTATTATTATTATTATTAGTAATTTTCAACCAGGCCGTATAAACAAGCTTCCCAGGGGGCATTACGGTTGGGCTAATTGTGGGATGATTTTCTAATTTATATAATCTCTTTTTCTTAAGAATAGGGTCTCAATATTCTTAGTAGCCTTCTAAGCGATGGTTAGTGCACTTGTGCTTTTGTCTTTGATTCTTTGAGTGTCTCTGTGTGCGCTTTTCGATTTTTTATATAATATTTGTTTGAAAGCTGTTTTATTCTGTAAGAATAGTTTTTGTATATATTCTATTGTAATATAGTATACCACATACTTCAATTTTCTTCTATATAGCTTTTCTAAATCTATTCTTTTTTATTTTATTTTTATATTCACCTAAATCAATCAATCCCTTTCCTTTTCTTCTTTTATTCTTTTGATAGTATTCTAGAATATATATTTCTATAAAAATCTATTATAACAATAAATTTAACGAATTTGACTAATATATACATTAACTGTTTCAATAGTCGTTTTTAAACTGTTTAATTACAAGATGGATATTTGAATTTGATATTTAAAGGCTAGGTTTTATAAATTGTAAGGATTTTGTAACAGTACACAATATACTCAAAGGATTTGAATACACCACATAAGCAATGAATTGTTGCTTCCTTGTGTTTAAATCGTTAATGGTAGTTTTCGAAGTCGTTATGTGCTAAGCAGATCACTAATATATAATGGAGAGTTGCTTATAAGAGTTTTAATTTCTTAAAACATTTATTTGTACTCTTTGAATCCCATTTTTGATACTATTTAGAGAATATTGATATCTATTTAATCCATTACACCTATATTACCGATTCTATAACGGTTTTTGCTATAAAACAAATATCGCTTGCTATAAATCGATTTGTATATCCTAAAGCTGATCTTCTTATACCTTTATCAGCGAGTGTGTCTGCTCGCTCATTCCCCTCGATCCCTGTATGGCCTGGTGACCTAAGGATTCTTTAGAACTTCTAATTTTCTTTATATTTATCAAAATTCAATAATAAACAAGTTTCATTTTAAATTAAAAATATTTATTAATAACAAAGTATTTATTTTGTTAATAACGAATAAAAAATTAATTCTATATGATATATATTAATATTTATAGAGGAATTTATATTGAATATTCTTTTATGTCACGCTATACACATGATCGCGTCTGATCGGAGTAGTACGGCACTAAGCTTCGAGCCGATTGCATATATAGTTTCGTAGTATGCTTTTTTTAATTCTATAGCTTTTAATTCTAAGATTAGTCTCTAAACACTCATTAAATTCATTAAGTCGGTTACCCTACTTTCGGGCCACCAGGGTTTTGGGCCACTCTTTCACACCAAAAATCACTTTTTAGACCTATTAATATCTCTATCAATATATAATATAATTTGATAAAAATTTATATTATAATTTAGATCGATTTAAGCTTATTCTGAAATTTTTAAATTTTTAGGATTTTTCTATATTGAGATCTAGAGCTTCAAAATATCGATTTCTAAATTTGTATGGGAATCCCATACAAATTTGAAACTTTTATAAAATCTTCAATAACTTTCTGATAAAAATAGCTAAAAATAAATTGTAAAATTTTGTTATAAATTTATAGTATATTTAACCTAATAAAT